TTATTGAAATATTTGCTTACGTGAACAAAAGTTTCATTTCATCCAACAACTTTTATAGTTGAGCATAAAACAAATTTTGTTGATCCACCTATCATCTGATTGTTCAATCCATGTGTAATTGAACGAGCTTTCAGATTTTCCACTCATTTTGATCATCAATGAATTGACATAGAAGATATGATATAAATTACCGAAGTAACTGAGTACCACTAGTGCCCTCCATGAGCAATCACAACATTAGCTGCAAATTCATATTCCTCATGTAAGAAAACCTATAAATACAAGATTTCATGTTCATGCTGTTGAAGCTAACAAAGTAATTGTGAAATTTCGAGATAAAATCTCCCCCTAGAGTATCTCCTAAACCAGTGTTCACTATCTGTAGTTCAGAGATTTCCCATTGTTAATGACACTACTCTCACGAGTAGATCATACGGTATACTAGTAATTTCGAATCATGAGGATTCCACAAACACAAAGTTAATCAAATCATCCGTTGACATTGAATTATGAAAACTGACCAAGGAACTCTCATGAGAAACGTGCGAATCTAATAACTTGATGTATACGAACATTGGATGTGAGGGTTCCGAAGTTAGTCTGGTCTGGTGCTACTCTTGACTTGACAAGAGCTCGTCGTGATGGTCGTTATAATGTAAGTTGTTATAAGGTCTTTATATTCATTGTTGTTCATTCATCTTTGCTATTGCTACCCATAATGTTTCATGCTATTATAAATATTTTTATGTTTGAATGTAGTTTCGTACTTTCAGCTACTCCTGAACTATCAGTGCCTATTCGAATATTACCTCTCGCAAACTTTTAAGCCAAAAGCTAACCCCTAAAAAATCGATATGGGGTAACCATCCACCTATATCGTGACACATTTCAAAATCTCATGTTCTTTTCTTTTTTCAATTAGATTATTTTCATTTCATTGAAGTCAAACAAATATTTCAGCAAGACAGTTTTCATTATTTTAAGTATCGAATATAAAAATGTGTTTTTATATGGTGCATCTGGCCAGGATTTGCGAACGGTCCCGCATGCTAAATCTGGACTGCCTAGGTTTGATCTTCAAATGGGGCGTTCCTAGTAGTGCACACAGATAGGCATGCTAAAACCATCTGTACCCATACAAAAACTGAGTGAGGAATATCAATTCATTTTTAACAAGAAATATCCCTTTTATCGTGGTCTTTCCAGGCAAACGCATTGCCTGTTCTTTGAATTTCAATTATTCAGTTCGGGTCGTTTTCATTGGGCTATACCTTGTATAATTTCGTGTCGTTAAATTGACTCCACTCCTTTTGAATACGTATTTCCCGAAACCAAATATTTCCTTCCATTAGCGTGGACTAAACAGACTTCAGCGTCTACTGGGAGGATGCGAACATAAAAGAATAGGCCTACTAGCACAAAAGAACACCTTGCAGGAAGATAACAGAGTTTAAAACGCTGAATCTTATTAGGGATATTATTTTGAAGCGACGAGCTCTCTACATCATCATTGAAACCTGCTCTTACTACACAATATCCTCGCCCATATTTATCATGCACAATATAGATATAAATTTCCCTTTCATACATACAAATGCTAAAATTGCTTGAAGGCGATGGCTTGTTCTACATTAAGTAAATTGCCAGGTATTTTCGTTCATATGATAAAGCACCACCATGACATTTCAATGCTACATAAAATACATGTACAGGCTGGGACAGATTGGACACTTTTGAAGGGAAAGTACTTTTCCCGTACTAGATAGAAAAAAACTGATGTTGATGCCTGTTGACGAACTCAATGGTGAAAACTGCATATCGATATCTAGCTTCGTTTCAGAGTTGCAAGGTGTTATTTGAAAATATGGATTTTCGAAAAGTGGCAAAAACTCATTTCTTTTTTCAAAAATTCTTCGTTTTCCTCAAAACATTTCCAAAGCATTGTGTTTGTCATGAAAATTGATCCTCAGGCACTGAAATCAGTCACCATATACTTAGTTTCAAAATAGAACTTTTCCTCCAAAAAGAACAAATTATATTCTTGAACACGATATAGGAAGGCTGATTTCAGTGCCTCAGGAATAATTGTTATCACAAACTCAGTGTTTTGCAGTTATTTTCATGAGCACATACAAAATTTGCAAAAAATAATTGAAGCCACTTTAGAAGACACTTTGGTGTCACCCATGAGATGAAGGACGTTTGCTTGAATAATGCAAAATCATTATGAGCCACTGTGTACCTTAAGATTTTCGGCTATTTCCTATTTGATATTCCACATACATCAGAAAAAATAACAATTTCCCATCTCCCAAAATTGAATCAACGTTTAAAAAAATCTACATAGTTCTGTTTCGATAATTAGATTGAGGAGACCGAGAGTTGACAATCTACAGGTATCGAATAGATGTTCAATTCTGGAAAACCCTGTATAATGACGTATAAAAGATAGCGAATCAATTTTCTTATATTCTCTAGATTTCTGACAATAATAATGTTGAAGGGTACCTACCTGCGATAACGAATTGCAATTTCAGGAAAGCCAAATTGAATCGTTTCCAGATTCAAGCACCTAGAAATCTGAGATGATGTGGTTTTATAATAAAATTGGTATTTATATTTTCTATTGGAATATCGGAAACCAAGAAATATGCAGAAATAAAAATGATTTTCAAATTGGCAGCTAAAAAACAATTTTTTTATAAAATCATATTTAACATAGGTAGGTATTTCCACCCCTTCAGTACTTTCCCAAGAAATTGGGACGAAAGATGGAACAAGCTGTTGTTTGGGACATGATAACACAATAAATCACAAAAATGTGTATCATCTTCTAACTCTTCAATGATACTCCCAGTGCTTTCTCTCAATGTCTTCCAAAATAATTTTTTATATTATGTATTCTTTATTTTCGTTTGGTTTTCTTTCTATCACCCATTTCATTTATTGCCCAAAATTCGGTAACACCCTGTATATTCTTCCCAATTTTCATGAAACATATTTTGCAAAATTCTGTCTAAGGAAATGTTAGTCTAAATGTTGTAAGTAAACATACTTATCTACTATTTGCTGAAAACTATAATATATAATTATTTCTTCTTCGAAAACTATCGATTAAACCTACTTTTCCTATACACAATACATAATCATCGCCAGCAGATGTTTACTATATCTTAATACACAGCAAATTTCAAATTGATGCAAATTTGCAGCATTTTCAACATGCGAATTGCATGAAAGCTGAACCTCTCAATTTAGACCAATTTCAATTCGTAATTTCATTTGTTAATTCCACTGTTGTTCTCGAGAACCAATCAGAATCGACCATTTTCACGTAACCTCCTGTATGAAATCGAGAAATCAAGGCAACAATACGTCATATCAATAGCCAGATATCTCTGGCCAAATAGGATCAATTGTGGTATCACATGATGAAATTATTTTCGTTTCCACATTTTTTCAGTAATAGGTACATGACATCCGATAATTTTTCTCATTCTATTGTTCATTTGAACGTCACAATAATCAGAGTAGTGGTCATAATATAGTCAGTATAACCCTGTATAAAAATTATCACATACCCTTATGAGAGATGTTTAGAAATTTAACTGGTGGGCTCAATTTCAATTGTTTCGTCAGACTAACTCTCGATATGGAACAATTGCAAGCGAGTTTTGGACGTGGGGTTCAGGTATTTGACGATAGAGGCGCCATAATCGGAAAATCGTTCAAAACCTTGGTTCTGTGAGGGATGAATCTATTTCCATCATTGTTCTGTGGTGGAATTCCGTCAGTGACATCTGTCAATTCGTATTCAGCGATTCAGATTCGAAAATTCGGAAAATTCGTACGAGATATAAAGTGTTTAGTGTTTTAATCCTGTAATTGTAATTGTTGTTCATTAGTGTTTAATTCTTTAATTGTTGTTTAGTAGGTTTGTTGTTTGTTTGGTTTATAGTGTTTAGTTTTTATATTTCATCATGGACTGGTGTTGCTGCAATATATGCGGATCGTATAAAAATCCGCAACTCCGTATGTTTTCTGTACCAAAAGTAAGTACGAATTCAACTAATAACTAATCATAATTATAGGTACTAGTTGCGAATGCACCAAGAATTCAATTGAAATCGGAAGATATTTTCATTGATCTGTTGATTTTCTCAGTGAATGAATCAAAAGATACCTCTACTACCTAGGGATTTTTTCAGAAATCGGAAGATATTTTCATTGATCTGTTGATTTTCTCAGTGAATGAATCAAAAGATACCTCTACTACCTAGGGATTTTTTCAGAAAATACCTTGAACTTATTCTTGAACGTACTTTCTCAATACGTGTATTCAAACTAGCATGTTAAGAATATTTTTGACATATTGACGTTTCGATCCTTTGATCAGAAATCAGTTCACTGCTCTGATCCAAATCATATACGTATCCAAATATTTATCGGTCGGTAATATGTTTCCTGTAAATATGGATTGTAACCAGGATGAGCTTAGCGAGATTTACCCATATACGTATTAATAATCAATACGGATAATCTCTATCTGTTTCCATAGCGAAACATGAAGCCGATTTTTGAAGACAAATGACTATCCATAAGGAAAAGTTTTGAAACGATCAGACACATACTGCTTTGATTGAAAGGCTAGTAAACGTCATTGTCCACCGAAACGCATGTCTTTGATGACTACTATAATAGCGCATGGCGCATGCGTATCATGCCACCAAATCCTTATGGATATTCATTTGTTTCATATTTTTGGCTTCATCCTGGCACCCGTTATGATCCGTATTGTTTATTAATACGTATATGGATTTACCCACGTCAAGTATGTTTATCTAAGGTTTATCAGAGTAGGCGCCATCGAGATACTTGCAAACGACCTTCAATAGGGAGTAAGCGCACCAGTTAAATTTCTATACATCTCTCCCTTATGTATGGACATCCAACAGAGAAACAACCTGAAACGATTTCCATAGTAACACACAACAAATAACTTCATAGTTGACAGGTATACACATTGTTGAATTTCATAATCGAATCTACCTTCTAAAAGTTATTATGCGGGACGTACACACTTGCCACCTTCGTAAAAATAGATCCTCCGACTCTGGCTTCATCAAGTTACGACCTAATGCGACCATTCTACAGATCCTCCAAGTGAAAATCAAGCTGTTGCTGATGCTGGATATGACCAACTGGAACAGCCAAGAGTATTTCCCCACTCAGTCCATGATGAGATCCGAACTGAGAAGACACTTGAGTGGGCCTTGCTACATTATCCACCCCTTCAGCAAATTCAACACTTTCTTCGAATTCCTGACATTCATCATATGGCTCTTCAGATATGGGATCTTCATGGTAAGATGGCATCGAGTTTTCATTATCATCAACCCATTACTGCAATTCATTCAGGCGATTTTCATCTTGTACCATTTTTTCCTTGGTTATGTGGACTACAACAAGAGGGAAATCGTCATTGGACTAAGGCAGATTGCCTGGTATTATATCAGAACTTACTTCATTATTGATATGTTCGTTATATTTTGTGATGCAACCACAGCAGACAATGTCAATAACGGCTACAATATCGCTAAAGTGATTGCTTACGTTTTTGCCATTATCATGAGATTCCCACACAACCATAAACGGCTTCGTGACATCCTGCTGCATTTCCAAGTGCATAGAGCAATCATATTCTTCGTATGTCACAGTTTCGTGTTGACATTTATGCTGCATTTCCTGACTATGATTTTCATTTTGATACCAACATTTATCCATGGCAATGATCAACCTGTTGATGGATGGATTTACAATTGTGCCCACACAAAATCAGTCATTTACGAAACGTTCGGTATCATATATAGTCATGGTTTCCTCATCATAACTTGTAATTTCTTCGGAATTGGTCATCAATACTATCCCAGAAAGCCAGAGGAAAATGTATTTCTCACTTTCGTATGCGTCTTCGGCAGACTGTACACTTTAGTGTTATTATCTAACGTCCTCGAAATATTCGGCTATCCAGATATATCTCAGTCCGAATACGAAAAGCTCTTGAATGAATTGAGAGAATACAGTATTTCCAGGAATCTACCGAAGATACTGTATGAGAAGCTCAAAATGCTGTTCGAGTATAAATTACAAAAGAGTTATTTCAATGAGAAAGAGATTTTATCAACGCTGACAGAACAGCTGAAGGCTGATGTCTTCCTGTATGGCGCTAGAAAGTTGATTGCAAGAGTCGAAACCTTCAAAACGTTGCCTAATACTGCTCTTGCCGAACTCTTTTCGCATATGAACTCAAGAGTGTATCTACCCAATGAAGTGATAAGGAACAGTGATGATGCCTTGGAATCAGTTTACTTCGTTTCTTCTGGTTGCGTGGCATTATACTTGAACGGTGTCTGGGAGATCAGCCACTTCAATGATGGAGACGAATTCGGAATGATAAAGTTATTCTATAATGTGAGAGATGACGAGCATCTGACTTACGTTGCCGTAGAGTCTACCGAAATATATACGATAAGAAAGAGGCATTTATTGGCGTACTTCACCAAATATCCTGAGGTTGAAAAATTCTTCGGGGAACGAGCGAAGGAGAGAGCAGCGATGATAACGAATAGAAAGAAGGTCTTGGGAAAAGTTGGTTTGGACTTGTTATCTCAGATGAAGGCTGGTACCATTTTAGAAGAGCCAAGGCTGCGACCCTTCGAGTTGAATTAGTGTAGGTTCAGGAATTTCGAGGATTAGTTCGATTTAACCTCTAAAGTATTCAAAAGTGTATCAAGTTGTTCATATCAGTTTTGTAAATAGTCTGTAATCATCATTGATTCTAATGCGTTTTTGAGTTCTCAATTGTTCAGATTGTTATAATTTCCTTCGAATATTAAAACATGCTTTGTTCCTTGATTTCATTACAATAGTAAGAGTTCTTATTCACTTTTTCAATGTCAACATGCTTTTGATATGAGTTTCTATATATTGATGGTGATGTGAAATGATGTAATAAGGTTTCTATATCAGTTTCTAATCATTTTTCTATATAAGTCGAGCAATTTTTACCATCTAGTTGCTGTTGGAAAAGAAATACCGATTGGAACTACACATAAGTTATACAGTGCGTCTCACTTTGAATGTCCCCCTCTACAGTGTCATTCATAAAGTCGGCATCATATGGGAAAAACTTTTATTAATGACTTATTCTGAAATTTGAGTTGGACGTTAAGTTTTGCTTCAAAAAAGATGGAAAATGGCCTACTCAATCGGGGTCACGTGACTTTCGCTACATGTCAAAAGTGACATTTTTCCAAATTAATCGCTGAAAGTAGGCTTATTATTTGTTCGAATAGCGAAGAAGTTTACTTGAAAAAGTTGTTTCTATTCGAATTTTACATATGTGACTCGGATTTGATCTTTCGATTACATTTTTTAGATTTCGATATTTTTTAAAAATTTTCGAAATTTCTGTAATATTAAAAAAATTGTAAATTCGATAAAACTACTTCATACCAGTAGTTTCATCATGCTACTAACTTTCAATTACTAATTATCACTAATTATTGACAAAAATATGATTTTCTTCAGAAAATGATAATCTCCGCTTCAAAATCCTGTTATGTTTGATGCAAACATAACATCAAAATTCTGTTATGTTTGAGTCAAGCATTTAGAAACGAAATTCATTTGAATTTATTTCATCAGTACTGAAAAGATCAGTTTAAATGGATTTCGTTTCTAAATGCTTGACGATATATCAACTTTGCATCAAACATAACAGAATTTGGAAGCGGGTATTATCATTTTCTGAAGAAAATCATATTTCTGTCCATAATCAGTGATAATAAGAAATTGAAAGTAAGTAGCATGAAAAAGCTACTGGTATGAAGTAGTTTCGTGAAATTAACAATTCTTCAAATATTACAGAAATTTCGAAAAATTAAAAAAAAATCAAAATCTAAAAGTTGCAATAGAAATATAAAATTCGAGAAGCATGTGTAAAATTGAAATAGAAACAATTTTTTCAAGTAAACTTTTCCGATATTCGAACAAATAAGCCTACTTTCAGCGATTTATTTGAAAAAATGTCACTTTTGACATGTAGAGAAAGTCACGTGACCCCGATTGAGTACGCCATTTTTCATCTTTTTTGAAGCGAAACTCAACGTCCAACTCGAATTCCAAAATAAGTCATTAATAAAAGTTTTCCCATATGATGCCGACTTTATGAATGACACTGTATATCTCAGCTATTAGTGAAGCAATCCATACCAAATCGAGACCAGTATGAATAATCAACAATATGATCAGGTTTTTAGAGACGAACATCATTTTGGATAGTGCCGTGCGTTTTCATAGAAATAAAGAAGGGTATATTTTTCATGAAGTCATACTAGGCATTTTTTTGCAGGGAAACTAACTTCATATCATTATTCCTCATGCTTTCGAACCTCCAATGTGCAAAATTCACCTCATTCTAAATCACCATGAATTGCTTATTATTTTTCATTTTCTGTCTCGAAAAAATAGTTAATTCAAATTAACTACAGATTTTGGAGAGTTCAATCGCTCTGGTGGGTAGATTGGGTAGGTAAAAGGTGCGTAGCGCGATGCCCAATTCCTACGATGCCCAATTCCCACGATGCCCAATTCCCACGATGCCCAATTCCCACGATGCCCAATTCCCACGATGCCCAATTCCTACGATGCCCAATCTCATGTCGACGATTACGAAGATTGCCGAAGAGCGCAACGTTGCCAGGTTATGAGAAAAAATCAGAAAACACGAGATTCCCACCATGCCCACTTTTCATAGATTCCCACGATGCCCAATTCCTACGATGCCCAATTCCCACCATGCCCACTTTTCTTTGATTCCCACCGTGCCCACTTTTCATAGATTCCCACGATGCCCAATTCCTACGATGCCCAATTCCCACCATGCCCACTTTCCTTCGATTCTCATCATGCCACTCTTCATAGATTCCCACGATGCCCAATTCCCACCAAGCCCACCTTTTTCAGATTCTCACCATGCCCACCTTTCATGCATTCCCACGATGCCCAATTCCCACCATGCCCACCTTCATTATGGTGGAAATCCAAAGAAGGTGGGAATTGGGCATCGTAGGAATTGGGCATCGTGGGAATCTATGGGCATGGTAGGAATCTTGTGTTTTCTGATTTTTTCTCATAACCTGGCAACGTTGCGCTCTTCGGCAATCTTCGTAATCGTCGACAAGAGATTGGGCATCGTAGGAATTGGGCATCGTGGGAATTGGGCATCGTGGGAATTGGGTATCGTGGGAATTGGGCATCGTGGGAATTGGGCATCGCGGGATGCTCCCTAGGTAAAAACAGGATTTTTATTATTTTCAACTCACGGTTTCCCCGGAACAATGCTGATATTCCAATGTGCCTGGTTTTTCGAAACCCTTCATTATAATCATATGAAAAACTGCATATGAGGTCTGGAGCAATGAAGAACAATAGTATGGGGTCAGTTCTCCTGTGGAACAATCTCTAATATAATAATCTCTTGTAAAAATCCATGGTTGCTCGAAGTGGAATGGAAAACTTCAAAAGGAAGAAGGGACGCTCAAAGTCATCGTGGCACCTACAGTAAATTTTAACTTCACTCCATGTAACTCCAACTTTTTGTTATCTCCAATTCTGTATGATTATCCTTGTAGTACTGTCTTGTTTGGACTGAAGATGGATTCTCATGAATCAAAACATGTCTCCCTGAATTACTTACATCATTAAAATAGTTGTGGAGATAGCTTCGAGCGATCCTTCTTTCCGTTGGAATTCCTAATATGATTTCAAAAAAATGGACCCCTTTTCATTTCAATAAAAATGCACGGCACTGTCCAAAATGATGTTCGTCTCTGAAAAACTGATTATTTCGATGGTTTGGTAAAAATCACACGACTAATGGCTGAGACACGCTGTATATGTAACATGGATGAAAGAGGCGAGTAACTATTTCAATATCTCAAACATCCTCAAGAACCCACTTTGATGAAAGGATGTTGATATAAGTTGATTTTCTTGATAAAAGAATCATTGTCTTTCCATCACTGCTATAGGATATCAACGAAACAGCTTTCACCAAATCCTCCCTGCAAATTGTAATTTCCAACCCAAACGACATATATTTTTTCTATACGAGAAACACCGTAGCCGTGAAAAAAACAAGAGAACAAATACGTGTGTATTCATCATCGTGACATGTATTGCACCTGTAATACTCCCTAGCCTAGTAAGGGCTTAAAGGCAGTCGACGACATCCGTCGACGACATTTTGTGTCTTTCTTGACTGACTGAAACCGACGTACACGTGAACTGAACCAAAGCCCCTCAAGAATGTATTTCGATCCCATCAAAAATCCCAATGAGAAGTAGCTGTCTGTTTTGTTCACAACAGTGACGTACCCAGAAGTGAAAATTAAAACTAAATGATTCTATTTGTCATATTCACAATGGGCGTGTACACCTTAGTAGAACTTTCAACTCAAACCATGTTTATAATGATCCTTTTATACATAAATAACGATTGGCGACATAATTCCATCTAAAAATTAACTGGAATGTTTTATTTTTGGACATAAATAATAGTACCTTCTAAAAACGGACCCTCTTTATGACGTAGAAACCTCATCTCGCCTGGAACCAATGAGCGATTGAGCGTGACCCATAGAGTGACCCATGTGTGACACTTATCACTGTTGCCATATCATCTAAACAAAATATCCGAGAGATCGAAATCGATATTGAAATATCTCTTGATATCAACTACCACTACTGCAGAAAAATATATTCAACTTGTCGATGGTAGGTTGAATCATTAGAATATAAACAATCTCTAAACAACGAAATGTCTCAATCTCAAAACCATTTGCACCATGACAATTTCACAATAATCCAATATATTTCATGAACGCAGCAACATTGCTTTGTTGACCCTTTTCACATGGAGCTGCATTTGCATCGAGTCTCGAATTCCGATTCCGAAGTTATTTATGTCGTCTAAAATAAGAAGAGAAGACACGTAATGAAATTAACCTACAAATCTTGCTTTATATCATATTAATACATATTATTGATATATTGAATATAAACATGAACGTTGAATCAGGATTTGTAAAAGGCTCATCAGATAATCTACCGAAAATTGATTTGGAAATGGTTAATTATTTTTATGTCTCTAACATACTAGAAAATCTCCACAGTTCCTCAGTGCTGAAATGAGGAATAGAAAATCTGAAAGGTAAGTTCCACAATATTCATTCAATTTTCATTGCTTGTACCTATTATAGTTGCATTGGAAAATTGTTCACCTGAAAGGATATTTAACATCAGAATACCCATCATATGGAGATTCCGAGGGAGAATCCTCATTAAATCAGTCACTGATCGATATGTTTACCTATGCAACAATATGATCAATCGGTATGAAACAATGTTATTCCCAAGACTAGATACTGCTTGCATCTCCCCTGAATGTTCTTCTAGGAGATGGATCATTCATTCTTCAAGCAATTTTCCTATGAATTTCTGCAAAGCAAAACTACTACGATAATACTGTGTTTACCCAGTGAGGGGCGAGATTTGTTCTCAAAATTCCCAGCTAAATGATGTTTTTTTAATTGCAATTAGGCACAGAACATTTCTCAATCATACTTTTGTCGAAATATTTCAATTTAATATTCGAAAGTTGCAGAAACTTAATATAGATTAGAATTGATCTTCTTGTTCTTATCATCTATGCCCCAAAAATCAACTTGCCGATTCACCAATCTTGGTGCTTTGTGAGAAATCATGTATCATTCATCTCTGTCTAGAATAGTCTTGTTTCAGTATTAGGGTTTTAACGT